GAGAGAGAGAGAGAGAGAGAGAGAGAGAGAGAGAGAGAGAGAGAGAGAGAGAGAGAGAGAGAGAGAGAGAGAGAGAGAGATGGTTGATCAGCGAGGCAATCGACAGAGAGGTGGTTCTCGAGGCTCATCTCCGAGCCAGAAAGGGTCACGAGGCCCGTCTCCGAGCCAAAGGTCAGGGGCAGCTGGGAAGGATGGCAAGGCGGCGGAACTGGGGCGGAAAAAGCCTCCGGGACCAGGTGCAAGTCCGGAGGACTCCGCGCGAGGCCAAGTCGGTGGAACAGCGGAGGGCACTGTGGGCGGCCAATTGAAGGGTTTACCGGCGGGGGTGTCATCAGCTCGGGGAGGACCCTCGGACGCAGGCGAGGCGGGCGGCGGGCAAACCTTCGCCCCTCCTAGAGCGCGGATGCCTTATCCACACCCTACGCTGCGGCAGGCCTACCGGTAGGTCCGCCGCGGAGAGCAGGAACACAGCTAGGAACAGCTTCGGGACTGCCACCGGTAGCCTTTCCGCCATCTCAAGTGGTTGTTCCGGATGGTCCATTTGGTGATGGTGGAGCTGCGCCCGTTGCGCCATCATTTACCACCCTTGTGCCCACTCAGCAGTATAAGTTCTCCATACCCTTCGCTGTGGTTCCGCACATGGAGGAAGGCTCCGACGCTATCTCTTCTGTGGCCGTGAGGGACAATTGGGAGGAAGCCATCGCGAAACCAATTGGGGTATTTCCTCCGACGGAGGCAAAACAAGCGGAGGCTCATCCCCAACCAAACTTTGAGCGAGGGGTGGTTTCATCCCAAGCTGTGCTTTCCCGCGCGCTCGCACGAGGGGAGTTGATGACGGAGCTGGAATCGACATCGGTGTCCGTTGACCTGATTTCACCGGCGTTCCTGTTTCGTTTATCAACTTGCGAAAGGTCTGACTAGAGAAGAGAGCGGCAGGGTACACTGCTGTCCGCGGCGGGTAAGAGAGAGAGAGAGAGAGAGAGAGAGAGAGAGAGAGAGAGAGAGAGAGAGAGAGAGAGAGAGAGAGATGGCTGAGCGGCGAGGCAATCGACGGAAAGGTGGTTCACGAGGTTCATCTCCGAGCCAGAAAGGCTCGCGAGGCCCGTCTTCGAGCCAAACGTCCTGGGCAGCTGGGAAGGATGGCAAGGCGGCGGAACTAGGGCGGAAAGAGCCGACGGGTCCAGGTGCAAGTCCAGAGGACTCCGCGCCAGGCCCAGTCGGTGGAACAACGGAGGGCACCGTGGGCGGCCAATTGAAGGGTCGACCGGCGGGGGTGTCATCAGCTCGGGGAGGACCCTCGAAAGCAGGCGAGGCGGGCGGCGGGCAAAACTTCGCCGCTCGTAGAGGAGCGGATGCCTTGTCCACACCCTACGCTGCGGCAGGCCTACCGGTAGGTCCGCCTCAAAGAGCACGAACACAGCTAGGAACAACTTCGGGATTGCCACCGGTAGCCTAACCGCCATCTCAAGTGGTTGTTCCGCCTGGTCCATTGGCGATGGTGGAGCTGCGCCCGTTACGCCATCTTTTCCCGGCCTTGTGCCTACTCAGCAGCAGAAGTTCTCCATACCCGTCGCTGTGGTTCCGCACGTGGAGGAAGGCTCCACCGCAGTCTCTTTTGCGGCCGTGAAGAACGATTGGGAGGAAGCCATCATGAAACCAATCAGGGTATTTCCTCCGATGGAGGCAAAACAAGCGGCCGCTCATCCCCAACCAAACTTTGAGCGCGGGGTGCTTTTATCCCAAGCTGTGCTTGCCCGCACGGTCGCGCGAGGGGAGTTGATCATTGGTGTCCGTTGACCGGATTTGACCGACGTTCCTGTTTCGTTTGACAGCTTGGGAAAGGTCAGACTAGAGAAGAGAGCGGCAGGGCACACTGCTGTCCGCGGCTTGTAAGTAAGAGGGGGAGAGAGAGAGAGAGAGAGAGAGAGAGAGAGAGAGAGAGAGAGAGAGATGGTTGAGCGGCGAGGTAATCGACGGAAAGGTGGTTCACGAGGCTCATCTCTGAGCCATAAAGGCTCGCGAGGCTCATCTCCGAGCCAAAGGTCTGGGGCAGCTGGGAAGGATGGCAAGGCGGCGGAACTGGGGCGGAAAGAGCCGGCGGGTCCAGGTGCAAGTCCGGAGGACTCCGCGCCAGGCTCGGTCGGTGGAACGGCGGAGGGCACCGTGGGCGGCCAATTGAAGGGTCTACCAGTGGGGGTGTCATCGGTGTCCGATGACCGGCGTTCCTGTTTCGTTTGACAACTTGGGAAAGGTGAGACTAGCGAACAGAGCAGCAGGGTACACTGCTGTCCGCGGCGGGTAAGTAAGGGAGGAGAGAGAGAGAGAGAGAGAGAGAGAGAGAGAGAGAGAGAGAGAGAGAGAGAGAGAGAGAGAGAGATGGCTGAGCAGCGAGGCAATCGACAGAAAGGTGGTTGACGAGGCTCATCTCCGAGCCAGAAAGGCTCACGAGGCCCGTCCCCCGGCTTTGACCGAGCGGGAATCTACATCGGTGTCTGTTGACCGGATTTGACCGGCGTTCCTGTTTCGTTTGACAGCTTGGGAAAGGTCAGACTAGAGAAGAGAGCGGCAGTGTACACTGCTGTCCGCGGCGGGTAAGTAAGAGAGAGAGAGAGAGAGAGAGAGAGAGAGAGAGAGAGAGAGAGAGAGAGAGAGAGAGAGAGAGAGAGATGGTTGAGCG